CCATTGCCGAAAACCATTTTTACTAATCACCCGATCATTTCTTACAAAAAAGGAAAATCCCTTACGACAAGCAAAAATACAGTTTGAAGGCGATAAAGCGATGCGACCACATAAGCCACATGGGGAGTCTGTGCCGTTCTGCGTTTATCTTTATTCACATGGCAAAAATTCATCGTTTGTCGGCGCAAAACTATCCACAGAAGCTTCAGATGATTTCTGGGACAATTCATCGTCTGAAAAAGTCGACAATTCCCGAATGACAGCGAAACAGTTCTCATAAAAGTAATATGTGTGGTTCTCTGTGCAGCGAACAAAGAGAGTTGTGACAAAGCAAAGCATAAGTCTGTTGAGCCTTGGACGTCATGATGACGTTTTTGCGAGCTCGGCTGGAACATGTTTCCAGCAATGGCGGACGATTTTTGGACGACTTTGGAGGGGTAAACATTGGTCATTGAAGGTTTGTTTTGAGTTTTGAATGGCAAAAAGGTCTTAACTTGACCCAATTCAACATTGTGTAAACAATTTAGGCCAAAATAAAATGGTCAATTTTCGTCTCAGGGGCACTTTAAATGGATAGCGTTATCCACCTTTTAAAAAACCGGGCCGAAAAACTTCGCTTTTGCCTTATTTTTGGATTCCAGATTCCGGTTTCCGGTTTCCGAGTTTCGGATTCCGGATTCTGGACTCCGGATACCTAGATTTAAGGTTGCCCAGTAAACAACGATTTAAGCATGATTAATTTTACCGCGTGGGTTTTGTACACGTAAGAAATTCGTACGTTTTTCGCTTATAACAGCAAATCAAAAACTGCTTTGAATAAATCTGTCGTCTCGAAATATTTCTTAATCATTTTCGTCTTGCTTCCAGCTGATAGATTCAACGGAACTTGAGATCTCCTCAGTCACCGACAAATTTACATATTCCCTTGAAATATGACCCGCCTGCCCATTTACACACATGCGAAAATATTTAGCGATTTTTATCTTTCATCTTGATTTTTGAGTAAAAACTTAATATGCACCTATCGCTTTTTTTCGTCGGATAAAAGTTCTTTAATAGAGGTTTTTACGTCACGTCACGTATCCCATAGCAACGACGGTGGCCGCCATTTTGAAGGTCAACTAGTACTATTCGACTGAAACAATGCGAACTTGACAATGTCTTCTAAAGAATCTTACTTTTCTACCCTTGATCCTCCGTGTAGAGCGAGATATTTACAAAAATATATATTCGATGAACAAAGTAGATTCATTTGAGATCTCAAGCAAAGAGACTCTCGCACATGTGATAATCCTTCTGTGTTTCCACGTGAAGACGAGGTTAGTAAGTCCAGAACAATGGTAATTCAAATTGGACGCCATATTTCAATTCGGTGTATTGTGTTTGCTTTCTTGGTTTGTCCAAAATATTGACTTTTCGTAGGCACGTGTTACACGTACTGGTCTCACGGGGTTAATTGTCAGTAATTTCGCTTGTGACGCAAATTGCGTCATGCCTCACGCGCAAATGCGCAGCAACACGCGTGTAGACCGGCCATTAGTTGAAAGCTTTCGGTAGTGAGAGGCATTATCATGTGACCCGTCCGGCCCCACTCGTGCAATCCCTTAGAAAATCATAGTAAAATCTGACTTGCGCAGGGTAAATCAGTACATATTCTATGACTGTAGTACCACTGTTGTATAGTTGTAGAGTACTGCTCTAAAAAAAGTAATGTAGTATTCAATGCAGAAGGGTAGATGAACAGCTCCTGTCGATGCCAAAATTGCGACAAAAGGGCTTGGTTAGAACAGAATTTGTGCACTGGTCAATTTTCAGGCCAGTGACAGGGGAGGAAATCAATAAGAGAGGTACACGCGTTAAATGAGCATCAAATATATTTTAAAGCAAATTTCGCCGGTTTGTACGCTCTGCGTACCTGGCGCAAATTAAGGGTGAACCCCGGCCACGGCAAACTATTTTTGTCTTACTCCTTTTGTTTTCTTTTCCTCTCAAATTTCCTTTTTTTTCTTTCAATTTACATTCTTCTTCTTCAAAGGATATGTTAGCTATGCTCAGAGTAAAACGCACCTATGGGAATGCATACGTACATACATACATACATACATACATACATACATATGACCGCTCCCCATGGGGGCTTTTCAGGGCCAACACCACCCATCCCACCCAAGGAAGGACATCCACCACACAGTAACTTCGTGCGTGGCAAATTTTTAACGTCTCCTACCCCTAACCCTGCAGGAGACGGGGCCTACGGTTTATTCGTCCTTATCCGAGAAGACTAGAATATCTATCCATTTCTTGATTATGGAAAGGTAGCAAATTCTCCTCACTTATTTTAAGACCATTGCTGAGGCGAGATCCTGAGCAAACATCGAGCTAAACCCGACAAAAGGGAGAGGTCAACGGACTTACACGACACCATACGATTATTCTTAGTTTTATTTTGAATGATTCCGCTGTAAGTGACCGTTCACGACAGATAAAGGACGATACAAACAGGCCGTTGAGACCGCTGGGACTCAAGTGAATAAGTGTAGTCGTAACCGATTTAAATAAAAGTAAATAGGGGAAGGAATTTGAAAAACGACTTGGAAAATTGGATCGCTTAGCTTGACAGGGTTACCGCTTGATACGGTGCTGCTTAATAAAGGTTCACCTCGCTGTGACCTTCACAAATTTTCCATAGATCCCTCATCCAAAGGAGTGTTATAGCAATATACAAAACAATCTGATTTTTCTGTGAGCAGTCCATCAATTCTCGATATTCCTAGAAGTACGAGTCAAATTTGGATATAATAGGTCCCTGAGGCATCACTTAGCTTACGGGTATAAAGATCTGCTCCATTCGTCTTCTTACCGGAAGTCAAGGATAACATAGAATGTAGTTGAAACGTTGGTTTAGTTCGGATTTACATCTAATGGGTTTACTGCAGTTACTTTATAGATTTAAGCGTTTGTATTACGATTAAATTAAAAAAATTATCTCAGTTCTGCTCAATGTTCGGTTCAAGGCTCGATTATTGTCAGATTTGTAAGGCCATCTTTGAATTGTTTCCACCCGTGCATCAAGTCGACTTCGGTAATGTTGCAGTTTGCATACTGTTCTGCAATATCACTCGCTGACAGGACCCTGCTCCAAAGATTAACCTCTGTCACCTCACCCGGTCCAAAACTATCTTCAATGTTGAAGCCCCCTCCAACTGTATCTTGATCTTGTCCAATAACGACTGTTCCGCCGGATGGAACCTGGTAGCCTTCCTTCAAGCCTGTTCCACTGTTTCGGAGTTGTCCATCAAGATAAAGCTGCCAGGTGCCTTTTGTACTTTTCCAGGTAACACAGATGTGATGCCACATGGTGTCATTTATCTTAACTCCGGTGTCTGTACCACTAAGAAAATGATCATAGACAAATGTGCGTTGAAAATTCTCATGTCCTCAAGAGACTTAATTTTTCTGTACTAACTGCCATTAACTCATCAGTTCATCGATTATAAGCTTAAGTTGTAAGACAGTTCATTCTGTGGCTGAAACACTACAAGGCAAGGCAAATTTCATTTACCCAAGATCCCTCTCCAAATATCATTATCATTGTGACTATTATAGCCATAGTTTTTGTCATTACTATCGTTGTTGTTTTTACCACTTATCATCACCATTGCGATTATCATTACTTTGCAGTGCGAAGAAAAGTGTTTCAAATTATTTTCCTTTGATGGCCCAGTCCTTCTATCAATTTAGTTGATTGAGAGGGGATAATAACTATTATAATAGAGTTCGAATATACGACACACGCTGTCATTGGTTTAAAGGGTGTGCTCTAACAGAGTACAGAACAGGGACCTCAGCTAAAACTGTCTCGCCATCTGCCGTTCTGAACTATGTGTAGCTTTTTTTCGTTCATTGAAAGTGACATTTCGGAATAAGCGAGCCAGCAAGTTACAACAGAAGAAGCAAAGAAAGGTTTGTAAACATGCCAAGCGCCGTAATTTGCATCATTATAACGTGTGTAAAGGCGAAAATTCACTGAGAGTAAGCGAAATGGTTTGTCCGAGTTTTGAAGGTTTTGAGCCGTAATAAAAATAAAAAGCAGCCAACACTCGTAGAGCATAAATAGTTTCGTGTGGAAAAAAATCAAAAACAAAAAACAAAAAAACAGGAAAGATGAAACTTGAAAATGTACCTAAACAAATCATGTCGAAGTCAGAGCGACTGCGATCATTTTCATATCCATCGCGGGTACCTTATTATCTGTGTTTATCGAAGTGAAGCAAGCCTCAGAAATTACTCAGAATTCAGTCACTTCAGTCACAGCAGCCGAAATTACGGCGCCGTCATCCCGAGCAATCTACTTGTTCCTGTGAATTCACTCATGATCAAGAAGTGAGGAGAAACATTCGACTACGTCTCGTGTTTCTCCCTACCCTTTTCTTGTGCTCTGGCCGCTTCCTGCGTGCTTCATAACAGAACAGGGCTAAGTCAAGGCTTCTCTATTTGTTTACTAGAAATGCTCGATATCCCTGAAAAATCATACTTTTTTTTCTCAATTATTACTGTAAGCAATGCATCCACTGTTTTATTTATACGCAACGCAAAATTACATTGATCCCTTTTTAATTTCTAAAAAAAGAAATTACTGCAATTTTGTCACAATTCTCTAGCATTTCCTAAGCATTTTCGATCGCTGTGCTTGCTATTTCATGATGAGGGACTCTGCTATATGGCAAGGTAGTTCTGAAGCAAATCGGAACGTTATGATCGCTTCTTACTTGGTCGGTATTTTGCCAAAAGGACTGTTTCCACGGAAATGGTGACAAGCAATATGTTTTTCTAGGTGAACTGAGCCGGGAAGATAAACAAGTTTGGTCCGAGTGCCATACAAAAACTACTTACTTAATACATTTTTGCTTTGTTTTACACATCACTTACTGTGATCCCGATACATCCACCATGACATCAATTCTTGGATTATTCAAGAAAATAGAAATACCATTTCCTTTTATATGAGAAGCTTCTGCGTAACTGAAGAGGCACTGGGAACTCGTTGAATTTATATCCTTGCTTTTAACAAAAAAGCACACGGTAAATTCCGAGAGCTTGGATGAAGTGGCGTTTTCTTTCTTGGCGTAACTTTTGGTGGAAAGCTGTTCCTGAAAAATTATCCGATAAGCTGTGGAAAAAAAAGCAAAACACTGAAATCTTGGTGCGACCAGAGATCTTGTTACACACGTTTTCTAAGAGATCTTTTACGACTGAGGTTTAGGATTGAGTACCTTTCATTGTTTGTCAAACATTGAAATAATTGACAATACGATAAAGTAGATTTCAAACAATTCAAAACGAAATATCAAGACATAACTGATATCAAGACATAGACTGAGTTGTTATTAAGAACCCACTAATTCTGAATGCGAAAAGCGTCTCAATTGCAAAAACTACCAAATCCTTTTGCCAAAATCTAGGGGATTCATACATCGGATTTTTAATCTGTTTCACGTCTCTACAAACCTGTTGAACAAGACAGGCCTTCAATCTTTTCACACCGTATCCCGTNCGTGAAAACCTGATCAGAACATGAATATGATCGTACATTGAAGTCATTAAAAAGTAGAGCTTCGGCTGTCGCTTCAAATTCTGACTTTTTTAAATCAGATTCCTTAGAAAAAAGAATGGCTTCTGAATCCTAGACCGAGTGGTACCATATCTTGTCGTAGGAACAGACATGTTACTTCATAGACTGAATATCAGGCGATAAGATCATAGATTTTGTCAAATTCATTTCATACGCCAACACTAGAGACACATCTTGGCAAGAATGACAAAAGCAAGTCAATGTCTTCTTTCTTCGGCTACTGCTTAAAGTAATAAGCGACACATGTAACAGGTGTTTTGTAGCGAGAAAAATTCTTTGGTTCTGATCATAATGAATAACGTTTTTCAAACCACTCGCTGCTGGCATGGCAAATACCACGACATACTTTCCATTAGAAGTTTTTGCACAACTGATGACTCATACCAGCCGTGTACCGAATAATTTAATTCAAGATCGGGTTTACCCTTCGTCGAAGAAACAAAGACTATTTTGTGTTCTTTTGTATTTCCCCATCATTTGACAGTTTATGTCATTGTCAAGGAAAATTCATTTCGCTTTCATAAAAACAGCTCTAATTTAAACTTCAAATGGAAATATTTTGGAGTGATTAGCATTTCAAAATAAATAATCGATAATGAATATTTGTCTGATGCCGCCCGCATGGTACTCAGGATGCGCAAGGATAGTACAGAAATCTCGCTTGAACCTTTTCTATATCAACGAGGTAAATTGAAACCGAAAAACGAAAAGATAAAAAGTTGCATGACACCTCGTATAGTGAGTTATAGCACCGGTAAATCGATAGAAAGTGAGGGCTATCGCTTTTACAAAATAGTCATGGGTTAACTTGTGCGCATGCAGCAACAATAGTTCGTTTATCAATCATACCGCGCCTATCATCTCAGATATTCCATGATAACAAGTAACCTCATCGAAATGGATTTTAACTCAACTTCAATTATTCTGCTATGATCATTACTTTCCCATTTCCCCCCTTGAAAATCAGACATTTGCTAAAAACCAATGTAGCCACAAAGACTTCGACCAAAATGAGTCCATTCACTTAGCAAACGAAATACTAGTAACTTGAAAACACAAAACTTGGTAAATTTCAAAATTGAAACAAACAATTTATCTGCTAATGAAACTGCAGCCGCATCAACAAGATCTCACATAGTCCAATATATGTATGAATGAGGTATTTTAGGCTATTAGTTACCTTAAGCCAAAGCATTGAGAAAGCGACACCATTCTCAAACTGCAGATATGTGTTTTGTTTAATAACAGACCTATTGTGCTTGTTTAGTTCACAAGTTCCTTCGCCATCAGAAGTTTGAGGAGCAAGCTTGAAGTTTGTTGAAGTACACCAGGTGTTTTTCAAACAAGATTGACTACACGAAATTTGGCCGGGAGACTTAAACCGTTTTACAACGAAGCCTTTAAGCTGCTTATCTGCCAACGTTGAGAAGTATGCTGATCGATAAACAGTGGATGACTCTATTGCAGTGATAAAAACTGCAGAGAGCAACAATCCCCGAAAAAATACAAACGGATGAGCGTTTTTAGGTCCCATTACCAAGACCTTCAATATAATACGCGTTGGTTTATTGGGTTTGTTAAGTCTTCAGCCACGAGTTTATACACGTCACTAACATATACAACTCTTTCATTGGTCGATTTTTGTATAAAAAACTTTTGGAAATGAAAATTAATAATTGATTTTTAATAGTACAGTGTTGAATAACATCAATAAAGATTTTCAATTTGTGGAAAAGTGTTCATTGGTCGAGAGAACGTNTTCAAAGATCAAATTTCGTTGAGGCTTTAAATTGCTGTCCAGATCCTGTAACGGAATGTCTTAACATTTCATTTCATTTCCAAAAATTCAATTCCGAGTAGCTTTTGTACTTACCAACCTGTGTTGACTAAGTTTAACGCCGCTTTGGAACTGTGGTATACTTGTGTCCCAAACAAAAGGCAGGCAGTTCGTTCCACCTTACAATGGCCGCCATACTGTGTTTAATTTCTCCTAGATGCCAGTATTTTCAGTTTGTGACGCAAATTGCGTCCTGCCACACTCGCAAATGCGAAGCAACACGTCTGTGGACCTGTCCACAAGTTTGAATCGGCAGTCTGAGTGCATGCGCTAACTGTGGTATAAGTTTAGAGTATTATACTAAAGAAAGCAATGTGATATAAAATGCAGAGGGGTCGATGAACAGCTCCTGTCGATGCCAATTTTGTGACAAAAGAACTTGTTTGGAACATAACTTGTACATTGGTCAATTGACAAGCCGGTAAAAGGGCAATAAAATGGGTACACGCGTTAAATGAGCCCTAAATATATTTCAAAGCTAATTTCGCCAGTTCATACGCTATGCGTACTTAGCGCAAATGATTGAGACCGAAGGTATACGAACGAAAAGGTTCGAACCCTGGCTTCGTCAAACTTTGTTTGCCTTTCTTCTTCTTTTCTTTTTTTTCTTTCAATTTTCATTGTTCTTCAAAGGATATGTAACCTTTGAGAACGTTTGACGACGAAGGTTTTATGTTCAAATCTATAACAAGTCAAAATGTGCAGGCGAGATCTTGCGAGACATTGAACAAACCAGTATAAAGGGGAAGGTTTGCGGACTTACATGACATCATAAGATTTTTTTTAGTTTTGTTTTGAATGGGTCCGCTCTGAGGGACCGTTCAAAATAATTGGAGGACAATTAAAACAGGCCGTTGGGACCGCTGGGACTCAGTGAGTTAGTGTGACCACGATTGCTTAAAAAAGGTGACCGCTTTAAATTACAGTAATTAAGGAAAATAATTTCAGGACTTGAAAACCGACCACTTAGCCTGACAGGGTTACCGCTTATTACAGTGCCGCTTAGTAAAGGTTCGCGTCGATGTAACCTTTAAGAATTTTCCCTANTCCAAGACGCTTCACTCACATTGCTTCATCTTCTCGGATAGGACGTAAAGCCGGAGGTTCCGTCTCCTGCATCTATCAATTAGTTAATTTCGCCAGGGGGCTTTAAAGAACCCTCATCACGAGATTACTGTAATGTGGTCTGGCCTGGTTACTGGGAATGGGGGGGAGGGGGCATCTGTAAAATTTCTTCTTCGTTTATTGTAAACTACCACCGGCAGCCTGGAAAAGTCTCCCGCATAGTGTTGTAAAGTGCATTAGAGCATTCCATGGAAATACGCTATAGAAATCGATATATTATTGTTATTATTATTATTATTATTATTATTATTATTATTATTATTAAATACCATTTCCGTAAGAAATAGATGATTCTGCGTAGCTGTAGAGGCAATGGTAGCCCTCTGTATTTGTATCACTCATTTTAACAAAAACGCACACAGTAAATTCCGATAGAATTGAAGAAATGACGTTTTCTTCCTTGGCGTAACGTTTGGTGGAGAGCTTTTCAAAAATTATCCGGTATGCTGTAGGAAAAAAATGAAAAGCCTGAGGTGACCAGAAAACCTGTTTTACACGTTTTCTGAGGAATATTTTACGACTGATGTCTAAGATTGATTACCCTATATTGTTTGTCAACCATTGATATAATTAATAAGACAAGAAACTATCCCTAAACAATCCAAAAGCAATTATTATGAGATCTTGACGATTTAGCGCGATCTGTACTCTTGTCGACAACGATATTCGTCATCACATTGGTCAAAATGTTGTGTGCGCCTTGTGAGTCTACTGTTGTAGAGTATTTTAAAGGATTTCTATTTCGAGTATTTTAATGTTTACCTTTTGTTTCGATGAGTCTCGCGCTTTTACGCCTTCGTGTAAGTTTGATAAATTTATAGTTTTGATCTTTTATTTTTAGTGTGTGCTTCAACTTGGCTCAGTTCGCGAATTTCCATCTTACCGTGCTAGAAATTTTAATCGCTTGTTATGGTTGGAAAAAGCTAGTTTCATAGGGAGTCATGTTTGGGTTGGTAAAGCTGGCCTTGAGTTTTACCAACACGGAGATCCTGTTTGTGCGCGTGATTCTCGTGCGCAGCTCGATCATTGGCGTTTAATTGGTTCCTTGGTGCTCGTCTAGTGCTTCTGAGCGAGCCACCCAATTTCCCTCTTTTGCAAAACAACGAATACACAGCGGAAACTCTCACGGTCTGCTAACCCAAACGTGTCTACGATTTTCCCACTTAAAGCGTTGGTTCCTCACGCTAGAGCATGATGATTATTAGATGCATAGAGCGTTGCTGTAGTGGCTCTCCAGAAGAGAATAACAGAAGAAAAGCCCAGAGTCTCGGTACTTCTCGTTAATTCGTCCAAGCAAGTTGGTAAAACCCCGTCGTCAACACTACAAAAAATTCAATTTTGACCACTATAGTGACGAATGTCGTTGTCGATAAAAGTACAGACCGCGCCAAGTGCCACGAAATGCGAGATACAAAAACCCTTAACTTGTCGCGCAACATTGTTTTGTAGTTTCGTAGTTTTGGGTTGATGTTTCGCGTTTTTTACCTTGCATGATCAACTTGTCGCTTATTTATTGCGGTAAAATTGACAAAAGCTTGTCGCCAAAATTTAGGGGTTTATGCATCGAATTTTAAATCTGTTTCACGTCTCTACAAACCTGTTGAACAAGACAGGCCTTCAATATTTTCACACTGTGTTCCGTGAAATCCTGGTGCACAGCTACAGTTATATCCTTTGACTCCGTCTCTGCAAGTTCCGCTGTTTTTGCAGGGATGGCTGTCAAAAAGTAACTTTTTGAGAGTATAAGATAATGTCAAGACTTGTCAGTAATATTTCATTAACCGTTCTAAGTTACTTTAACATACAAACATTGCAGAAACATTGGACCTTTGCATTAAAGACGTAGGACTGATTAGACTCTGACGATGGATAGCCATTCTGCCACTATACCAACCATGTATAAAACGCTTAAGGTCGGTCGTTTCTCCAAATATGCATACAACCAGGGTTCAAAATGTCAAACTTAATTTTGTTTATTCTTAATATTCGACATTTTAGAATAGTTTTCAAATTAATTTAAAGCTAACCTTAGACGTATACACATATATTTAAAGTCTTAAACTATTTTCCACTCCAGTAAGTTTTCTACTTAAATTCTTTTCTTGAAAAGCTCTGTTTTGTTTTGTTTCGTTTGTCTCTTTCCCATTAAAGTGTTGGTTTGTGTGCTTCCAACTCTCGGAGACAAATATTTTGCCATTTTTCTTGACCGACATCACTTTACCATCTCTATTCTGCTATTCTGAGTTGTTTCTTACCCAGAGTACAAGTTTCTCAGATCCAAATGGGTGTGCACTCGCATGAATATGATTGTCTCTTATCGGCATACACACACACACCTCCATTTTTACAACTGTTGGTTGGTGTACAGCCCTAAAAGGAAGCATTGAGGATATCTCGTCATAACAAAAAATGCTACTTTATAGACTGCATATCCATATCAAACTCACGGGGTACAAATAGTCTCTTACTGAATTTCGTGACCACGCCCACTTCATCGGCCCACTCAAATCGAGTGCGATTTTTGGATGTTATATCAACTTGCCGACTCTCTGTATAGAAAGTTAACAATGTACCACCGAAATATTGAGCTATAATATCATGGCTTTCCATTTTGTGTATTTTCGTACTACAAAGTAAAGTTTTTCCCTCGTCATTTTCACCTTTTCCCGAGCGGGTCCGTCAAAATTAAGAAGGCGTTCGTGGTCAAAACAAGACCGAGCAAGGAGTCTTGGGCGATTTCTCTCTTACGCAAGCGCAAATTGAAAATGTACCGCCAAAATCAAAGAGAGGAACAAATTTCCTTTGTTTTGATATGTAAATTGTCGAACAAGGAGCAGATTGAACCTCGTCAAATGGCTAGTCAAAACAGCCACACCTTCCTCCTTTTGCTCGTTTCCTGTTTTATAAGCGTGAAAGCAGTGGGAGAAGAATCGGGTAGCTCGGAAAGCGCTTCACCATCGTTTACTTACGAGATAAACAAGTAAGATTTGTAAAGTTATTTTCCGAAAGAGTCGGAATAAATACATTTTTTTCAGGTTAGATTGCTGTTTTTACCCTAAACGTCGTCCAATAAATTTTTGTTGCAGCCTACTAATCTATACAATTTCGAAGGAAAATATTCAGATGCTTCACCGTCCCCGAAGGGGGTTCTGTCCTGGTGTACCGGTTCACAAGGGAATTACCATTGTTCTTTCTTTGTTTAGGAGTTATCGGTTAGCTATTGTGTATTGTTTGGTCTTTTGTATTGGCTCTTGTGAACCGGTACACGAGGACAGAACCCCGAAGGGTCTCCACTCATCGAAGCGTGTACTGTAGCCAATGTAGTGAATTTTCAGTCTCTTGTTGGGTTTGTCAACCTCCGTGACTTCAATATCATACAATTTTGTATCTTTTCTCTGTGAAATGACCTTTTTAACAGGGGTGTATGCTGAGTATTCGTTGCAGAATCGCTTTGGTTCTCTTATCTCTCTCTTTGGCTTGTCCGCCATTTTGAAAATTTGCTCAGGAGGGGATCTGGGTTAGCGGCCGCGCCAGGCTGGAACCGACAAAAACAAATGTCCATCGCAGTGGGGAAACAGTTTGATATGAGGTGATAAGCTCATAGATTTTGCTAAAAGCATTTCACTCGCTAAGGCTAGGAACACGTCTTGGCAAGAATGAGAAAAGCAAGTCAATGTCTTCTTTCTTCGTCTAATGTTTAAAGTAATGAAGGCGATAAGTTTGCAAAGAAACTGAAACTGTGGTACTGCGTAGGGGGGGGGTAACAAGGTAATTTATTTTTATCAACTATGTTGATAATGTAAGTTGGCCGCTGTAAAGAGTTTCAAACTGTGGATTGTGTTGGCGTTTATATGCAGAGAGTGGAGCTACGCTATTGATGGGAACATGGTAACGAAGAAAACAAGATTAAATTAGTAGAATGAAAAGCGTTCGTTGATACCTACAGTATGGGTTTAAGAGTGCCGATTTGAAAGATAAACTTTTTTTTCAAGAGTTTTGCGGCTTTCCGAACTACCTAAATGTAAGGAAAGGTCGTAGGCTGCCGTATGCTTCTTAGAATGATTAGGTAGAATAAAGCGTCTTGCGACTGTTCTCGGAATCGGTCACCTAGTCGTCTTCCTGTTTCACCAATATATGTATTTTTGCAAAAAGG